ATACTACTGCTACTTCTGGTACTGGAGATTAAATACAGGGCCTCACAAATGGGAGGTAAGGGCTTACTACTGAATCACACATCCTACCTTTAAATTTATTTAGTTTTTTGTTTTTTTTTTGTTTTGTTTTGTTTTGTTTTTTGAGACAAGGTCTTGCAAACTTTCCCAGACCAGCCTCAAACTTTGATTTCTCCTGCCTCAACCTCCAGAGTAGCTGGGATAAAAAGGATAAACCACAGAATTTGACCAGTATCACATTTCTGAGCTCAACTCCTGACTCCACAACTTATGGGCAGCTGCCACTATGGTCAAGTTATTTGATCTCTACATATCCCACTTTTCTCTTCTTTAAAATGGAAGCATACAGTAAAACCTCAAAAAGTAGCAGTGAGGATTAAACAAAATGACTCTTGTGAATTGATTTGCAAGGTTTATTCAATATTTGATTGCTATTCTTATCCCACATACTAGTTCTTTGGCTTCCTGCTGTGTTGTGCTACCTGCCTTTTTCCATGTAGAAGACTCTACAATTACAATTTGCCAATTGGAAGTATCTCCGAACTTTCCTGCACACCTTTTGGAGGCAAGGGCATAGGGAAGGGAAGGGATTACCCCCTGGTGTCTGGCTATTCCCTGTAAAGCGTGCCCAGTGACTGATAGCTCCAGTGCAAAAGTGCCTTTGCCTGTTTGGCTAAAGCTGTGCGCTGTCTTGGATTAGCATCCTAGATGGGAGGGGGGGCGGGGCAGATCCATTGTTTGTCCAATACCCAACCGTTATCCGTGAGCGGGAGACCATAACTGGATTTTTAACCAACTCCCACTGAAGGACCAAGTCCTCTCCCATTTCCAGAGAGAAGTCTCGCGGACGACTCCGCGGGATGCCAAGCAGAAGTTCAGCAGCCGGTAAAAGACAAGCGAAGGAGAAAAAGCAGAAAAAGAAGGGAGGGGAGCCAAGATCTGTCGGCAGAGGCAACAGCAGATTGAGCCCAGCCAATGGTAACCCCAGGACGAGGTGACATCAAATTCCCTTTGGCCAATGACAGGCCAGAATTTACAGGAGTCTCATTTGCATTTCGCAGAGGCAGGAGCTAGGGAGGCGCTCTGTAGGAGTCTGCAGCATCCCTGCGCTGTGATTCTTGTCGGTACTGCTTTCTGTCCCTTACCATCTCCTGCCATCATCTCCACGCAGAGCTGCCGCGTCCAGGCAGCTCTGCGCAGGCAGCTCTGCGCACTTTGCCCCTTGTTCAACGAATAAAAGGTGCCTGAGTTAATACCGGGCACCGTCATCCCCTGTCAGCTCTACCCCTTAAATTTCGCCCGGGGAGATCCGCGCACAGCGGGTGGGCCTGCACAGCCATCTCGCGTGCAACAGCATAGTATTACGAGCGCAGCTCCACCGATCGCTGAGCCGAAGTCCACCCTCAATCTCAGCTGTGCCAAATTCGCTCCGCAGCCTCAGCCCCGGGACCGTGATCCCAGCACCCGAGAGCCAGATGCCCGCCCACAGGCTGCAGGAGGTGAGCGTCCCAGAAGCCGCCCCCGCCCCGCGGCCCGAACTGAGGGTCTTTTAGGCTATTGGTTGGTGGGAAGACAGAGCTCCTGGACTGGCCTACATTTTCAGAGTTCTGCAGACCTCGGTTGATTGGGGGTGTGGATTGTAATGTGAAGGATGGATTCGCCAACGTTTTTTTCCTTTCTTAAGTTTTAAAGTAAAGAAAAATCTGATTGTGAAATTTCATTTTTGTGTTACTAGGTGAAAAGTGTTCTCTCTCTCTCTCTCTCTCTCTCTCTCTCTCTCTCTCTCTCTCTCTCTCTCTCTCTCTCTCTCTCTCTCTCTCGCTCTAGCTCTCTCGCCCTCTCCTGCTCCTTCACCTGCAGATTTCTCTTCCAATCTATCTGCACATTTTTTAGGGAAACTTCCCCCCTGTTCCTTCTTGGGGTACATACAACACTCGTGTATCCTGGGCACTGGGGCAGGGGCATGTGCTGTACACTCCCCCTCAGCTGCATTAGAGAGTAAAGTGCCCCTCCTGCCAACAAGCAATCTCCTCACTCTCCACTTCCTCTCCTTACAGATCTCTAGCTCCTATACCACTACCACCACCATCACAGCACCTCCCAAGGAGGAGAAGACACTTACATACCTAGAAGAAGACATTCGCCCTGAAATAAAAGATGACATATATGACCCCAGCTACCAGGATGCAGAGGGCCCTAGGCCCAAATTTGAGTATGTCTGGAGAAACATCATCCTCATGGGTCTGCTGCACCTGGGAGCCCTGTATGGGGTCACATTGGTTCCCACTTCCAAGTTCTACACTTGGCTCTGGGGTAAGCAGGGTCCCTTGTCCTGAGCAAGTACCTCAGGTTTCTCACTGGTCTTTGATAAGGTGGGGTCTCCACTGAGCAGCAACCACTCTTTATTCAGGTTTTGACAGCCATAAGTCTTTGGTTGCCTGAGAGACTGACTGGGCTGGGGATAGAGACCCTAGTAGGATTAAGATGCAAGAGAGACAGTTGTCTGGGTCCCTTCCTGGGAAGTAAACATTGAGACGAGATGCAAGGGGACTTTGGGGTGTAGATAAGTGAAAGAGAGTTTACTGTCCCAGAACCCAACATTTCTGTTAGTCATTTATTTGAATGCCTGTCTCTTTCCTGCTTCCCACAAGTCCACTACCTGAGAGTCATGGGAACCCTGGTTTTATTGGTTGCAGGTTGAACATAGACAGGAGATAAAGCCAAAGGAAACTGCTCAGGAGGAGAGATCATAATAAAGCATTGAACACCAAAGGTGGTTATCCACAAAACTATTTTAACTTGACCGTTTGACTAGACCAACATTTTCTATCATAGGGGTAGAATAACAAGGCTCCTATATGACCCAAGTTGCACGGATGTGTTGCTGTCAGGTAGGTCTCCTGGGGTCAGCAAATGTCAGTCAAAGAAATGTTCTTAGAATGACAGAGGTTGCAGAAAATTTTCTCAATTATGAGGCCTCAGATGTCAAATTATCCCTGTGGTTCAGGGGGAGCAGATCCTCACACAAAGCCTAAAGCACACACAGGCTCTAGCTTTAGGAGAGCAATTTGACATGCCTTTATGGACTTACCTGTTGGTGACTCCTGCACTGTCTTGTCCTGGCAGCCTATGCATACTATTTAGTGAGTGCCTTGGGCATCACAGCAGGAGCTCATCGCCTGTGGAGCCACCGAAGTTACAAAGCACGGCTTCCCCTGCGGCTCTTCCTGATCATTGCCAACACCATGGCGTTCCAGGTAAGAAGCTGGTGCTGCTCAGCTCTCAGTCCGTAGTTGATCCAAGGTGGAACGAAGGGGATCTGTGCCTGGAGAGGAAGCCCCAGCAGGCAGTCATTGACCTTTCCAGTCTTCTGAGGTCCTCTCAAATGAGACATTGCTTAGATTTTTCAAACATGGAACTCTTCAGAATCACTAGGAAGGGAAATAGCGGGAGTCACTATATAAATCTGTAAAGGTATAGGGTCATTATACACTCTAAGTTCCCTGTGTTCTCACACAGTGTGGCCAATCATAAAGGATGACAACTCATAAGCCAGGCATTGAGCCTTGTTTTCTGGCCAGACACTGGATAATAAACTTATGCTTCAAGGGCATTATCTTGGAATCTTGCTACGATTTCATTAAAATTAGTCTCATTGACTCAGGAACGCTGTTGTTTCAGGTAATAAGAGCAAACATCCCTATATCCTGACTGTAATAATCACTTCACATAGGTTAACTCATTAAGTCCTTACACACCTTAGGGGTAGGTCCTATTTTTATCCCAAATATGCAGATGAGGAAACTGAGTCATTGAGAGGTTGGATGGACTGACCTTCTGGTCCCATCTGGGGCTGCCATGCTAGCTGAGCCAACTAGCAAGGTCAATTGTAGCACAAATTTATAACAAACAGGATGGAAAGGAGGGGAATTTTATACCTATTAAGTTATAGCAATGGGCACAGGATAGCTGGTAGTATGGAGCTTAGTTTGTCACAAGAGGAAACTAGAAAACTGTTAAGCCCCTTTGTCTTGGCCATATCTGAGGTCTTAACTATATCTGCATAATCGTCTTTGCCCTAGCACCCTACCTGATGATGCTTATGGGGTCAAGGGAAGGAGGAGAATTTAGTATATTCTGGAAAAAAAGAAAGAGTCCCACACAAGCAAGAAGGCCTCTGGAAATGTGGTCATGGTCATGAGTTTCATGCTGCTCTTAGGTTAAATGAGCTATGACTTGTGAAGGCATCAGGACAGAGCTCTCCAGAACTTTATCTACAGAATAGGACCTAAGGCCACCTGCTTCATACTTCTCCATGCCCCTTGTGTGGGCACCCCTTGAGGACCTTGTCCCTCATTCTTTGATAGAAGAATTGCAATGTTCTTTCTTAAGGAAATAAGTGAACATTATGATTTACCTATATCCTCCCCACCATATAACATTCAGGAAGCAGCAGTGCTGTTCTTGTGTCTGGGACTGTAAGTCGCTTTTCTGCTCCGGCTCCAGGGAAGAGTGCAGAAGAGGGTAGGTCCCTTCATTTCTCTTCTGGAGCCAGACTTTTGGGGACTCTGTGAGGTTAGGCTGAGAGTCTTGGGCCCTTGCAGACATCCAGGCATTGGACTTTTCCCAGGAGGGTGTCCCTCCTCAGGCCTGTGTTCCTCTTCTCTGTCCCTCCAGAATGATGTTTATGAATGGGCCCGAGATCACCGTACCCACCACAAGTTCTCAGAAACAGATGCCGACCCTCATAACTCCCGCCGCGGCTTCTTCTTCTCTCACGTGGGTTGGCTGCTGGTGCGCAAACACCCAGCTATCAAAGAGAAGGGGGGATCTCTGGACCTGTCTGACCTAAAAGCTGAGAAGTTGGTGATGTTCCAGAGGAGGTGAGCTAAGGGAAGATGGGGCTGGGGATGTGGCCCTAGGCATCTGGGATTTGGGAACCCAACCTTTTCTCTTAACTCTTACAAAATAAAGTTGAGAATTTACTGGTTTTGTAAGTTCAAATCACTTATGGCCTTTATCTCTGAGCTATATTGATGAAATCAGTTAAATGCAACAAATCTTTCCTGACTGGAATAGTCACGGACACAAAAATGAAAGTTGTTAAGACCTCCTCTTCTAAGAATTTGTTGTCTGTTGGGGTGGAGGGATAAGGCAAGTACCCAAACCACCATAATAGGAGGCAATTTATGGTCTGCACTAGGAGAGGTATGGCGTGAGGGTGCGTGCTCAGTGTGGACACGAGAAAAAGGGTTATGAATGAAGTAGTATCAGAATCCATCCATGGAGAGAGACTTTCACAAGTATGTGTGAGCAGGGACAGCACAAAAAGAAAGAATGGAATAGGCCAAAGTCTCAAGCATGTTCTTGAAGAATGTCCTTCTGCCTAACATGTAGGGCAGGGCAAGAAAAAGGACTAGACACAGACTCAAAATTTTATTCAGCAAACAGAATGGTTTCCTCATCAGCAATGTGACACAGTCAGAAGTGTGCTTCAAGAGGATGCTCTTATGCAAGTGAAAGTAACTGCTGAGCCAGAGAGATGAGAGACAGGGACACAGGTTAGACAAGAAGAGGGGCTATGGTGGGGAAGCAGTGGCAGTAATAGAAAGGAGTTAGAGGTAGGTATGTCAGTGACATATAAGTCATAGATGTGACTGCTAAAGGGAGGTAGGCAATCCATTCCCTTGAAGTGTCATGGCTTGGTTTTTGGGAGTAGAGTATAGGTCAGGGCCTCTGGAGGGACAGAGACCTGCAGGTGGCCAAGGACACTTGGTGTGCCTCCTGAGGGAAAAGCAGAGCAAAGAGTTAGGCAGTGGTAGCAGCAAATGGAGTCAAGGCCCCTAATGTAGACTGTGTGCCAAAGGTCTTGGTGGCAAGCTAAAGATCCTAAGGCAAACTGACAATAGCACAGGCAGCAAAACTCTGCTGATGAGTTTGAGATTTGACTCTCACTTGTTTGATCAACGTGGCCTTATGGTCCCATTAAAGATGAAAGAACTTCTTATCAGGAGACAGGTAATCCAATCTTCACTTCACTTGCTAGTGGGGTGGTCCTAGAAAAGTCATTTAAGGTATTCACATTACCCCATCTAAAGTCGAAGGTACTATTATATACTCAAGTATTTCCACTCCATTTCCTTATGCTGGCCTTTGCCACCCTGTTCTCATGGTTTGGAGGAATGACAGCTCAGCCATGAGAGCAGACAGCCCAGGTAGGTGTGAGAGTTCTCTCTCTGCAGACTCACTGTGGGATCTCTCAATGTAGGTACTACAAGCCCGCTGTTCTGATGATGTGCTTCATCCTGCCCACACTGGTGCCCTGGTTTTGTTGGGGTGAAACCTTCCTACACAGCTTGTTTATTGGTACTTTCCTGCGGTACACTGTAGTGGTCAATGCCACCTGGCTGGTGAACAGTGCTGCCCACCTCTATGGAAATCGCCCCTATGACAAGAACATTAACTCTGGAGAGAATGTCCTGGTTTCCCTGGGAGCTGTGGGTAAGTCACCAATGCCTAACATAACGGCATCCAGTGGTCTGCTTTGGGGGGTATTTGGCTAGGAGTCAGAAAAACCTGAATAAAGTGCTTTTATGACCACTTTACCTCTCCCCCTTATTGGGAATTAAACTCAAGTGTGCTCTACATTTTTATTTTTTTATTTTGAGGTAGGGTTTCTCTTGCTGGGGCTGGCCTCAAACTTATGATCCTCCTGTCTCAGCTTCCCAAGTCTCTGGGATTTTTGGCATACACAACCATGCCTGGCTTTTATAACACCTTTAAAACTCATTTTTTTTAAACTATAAAATTGGGGTGGGGGCAATATATTGGAAAACCCTTATGAGAATCAGGTAACAACTCTTATATAAATAGAAAGGGTGAAAATTAATACTACTTTCAATGTGAAGTTGTAAGACAGTATCTAAATGCTGCCTGTAATGAGTTTTCCTTTTTTTGGCAACTCTGAGCAGATCTGTAGTCTTTAGTGTGGAAAATGCTTGGTAGAAAAATAGGGTCACCTTCATGGCTTGTAAGCCGAGTGCTTTATATTTAAATATGAAGAACAAGTATAATTTGGTTCAATAAACTTCCCATATGCCACAGTTATAGTGTTTTGCTTTTTAAATGAATATGCCACACTTTAATGTGTAGGCTATGCCTTATTGTTTAGTGATGCCAGTATGAGGGGCATCAGTGCAATGGTTGCAGGCCTTTACCATCACCTGTCACCCTGTCTCCTCTTGTCCTTTATTGTTAATCTTCTATTGTGTGCTAGAAACTCCCCTTCCCTGAAGTTGCTTAGGGAATCCTCTGATAGGGCAGGTAACCTTCATCAAAGTTCCTGCTTCTTGATCCAATCTTGACTGCTCTTGAACTTATTTGTCTCTGTAGTTCCATTCCCAATTGCCAGATAAAGAAAAAAGGAGTTCTTCCATCTGCCTTCATGGTTTGCTGTCCTTTTTTTCAAATTAATATAGACTTTGACTGAGACCTGAAGTTGGTTTTCCTTCTGCAGAATCTGTGCCCCTTTCTGCTCATGGATCAAAGCTGTTCTTCATCCAGTAGCATCTTGGCAGTCACCCTGCTCACATGCCTAAGCTCATCACTGCATAACTCATTTTTCCTCATTAATTTTTTCCTGATATATTCTCAATCCAGACCACATTCACTAGCTTTGTTATGAAATTTTTTTCCTATCTCTTTTTTACTTCTATACAGCTTTCTGCTCCTTTCAGGAAAACTCTTGCCTGTTCTTACTTTGACTCATCTTTGAAATAAATCACCTACACACTGTCCAAATCTGGGATTTTCATAGAAATAGAATAGTCTAGACTGAGGTGTGTCCTGTGTTGTAAATGGAACTCCAGTGAGCTTCCACATCTGCAGCTCTTTGTGACCCTCTGTTCAAACTAGTTGCCAATATCTTACTTTCTCCCATTTGTCATTTGCTTCTGCAAACCTGCTCTTTTGTCCATGTCCCCTCACCCATTGCTCTCCTCCACTCTCTCCTGCCATTCTCACCTTGTTGATCTTGACTTACCCCAACAGTCACATGCTCATCCTCTCTGACAAAGCTGACCTTCCTCTAGAGTCTTTCTTCAGCTCTTTTCCCCAGTTGCTCCCATTGACTCTCTCCCCTTTTTCCATTCCTTGTCTCTGTGTGTGTGTGATTCATTTTAAATCTGATACCTACAGGCATGATGAGTGCTCACTCAGAGCCTTGCTGTGAAGCCACAGGTGGAAGTGGCAATCCTGGGTCACTCTTAGCCTTAGTGTTATCCCTCCACCTACCAGTGCACACCATGGACAGCCTGGTTTACAGAGATAGGCACCTTGAGATGCCCAGGTTGGAGTCATTTGCTTGGCAGAACCTCCTTTGATTGCTTGCTATTCTTATCATTACTGCTATATCTGGGGATGTTTTTTATCTACAAAGGGTCCAACAACCTCTATTATTATGGCTGTTCTTTACCCAGGCCTGATAAGAGCCAATGTTGTTAGTGTTGGAAGCTGTTGAGAAAGAAGAATCCTGCCACGAGTTGCCAAACATTTTACCAATTACAGAAATTGTCCAGGATCCTAAATTTCTTTATTTTCCGCTACAGTACAGTGAAATGCTCTTCCCAAGAGTTCTCAGAATCTCAGAAATTGAGAGGTTTTCAGAATGGTTCTGTTTTATTGGTACCTCCTCCAACACATGATTACCTCAGAGAACTGGGAGCCAGAGTAACCCACTGAACCAACAGAGGCTAGGAGAATACCTGCCCCTGGCTGGGTCTGCTTTCTTCTTGTTTTCCCTGTTGCCATCATTCTATTAGAACCTTCCACCTTTACAGGGACCATTAGTACAGAGTAAAACTTGTGTTTTTTACTCAGTTTTGTAAGAAACACGGCAATGGTTCTTCTGTACCCTCCCCTCCCCACCCTAACATGCACAAAAGCAAAGAGCTCAAGGGTCTCAAGCCAGCATTTACTAAAGCTCTGTATTTTCCAATGTAAAATCCTTTCCTAGGATAACTTCTCTTATCCCCTAAGGGAAACTTCTCACCAAGGAAGCCATGGGTGACCAGGCCCTCTTGACTCATTGCTTAGTCTGAGGGCTTCTGTTTGCTTCAGAGTAGAAGACACAGTGTTCATCCACTCATCCACTTATCAGTGGGTTTCTCTGAAGCTCATGGTACTCTGCTATGCAAGAGTTATGGAAAACAGCAATCTGCCAAGCTCCCTAACTTCTCTCCTTGGTTTTGTTCCAGGTGAGGGCTTCCACAACTACCACCACTCCTTTCCCTATGACTACTCTGCCAGTGAGTACCGCTGGCACATCAACTTTACTACATTCTTCATTGACTGCATGGCTGCCCTTGGTCTGGCTTATGACCGGAAGAAAGTGTCCAAGGCTGCCATTTTGGCCAGGATTAAAAGAACTGGAGATGGAAGCTACAAGAGTGCCTGAGTTGTGGGTTGTCCAGATTTCATTTCTAAAGCCATCTGGGCAGAAGTTTAATGTTCTGTTAATAACTACTGAAAAGTATTACCAGATGCTAAAGTTGATGACCTTAACCCATTCCAGTATTGTATTCTTTTAAAATGCAAAAGGTTTATAACTTTTTTAGGTAGTGCATATTTTAATCAGTAAGATAGAAACATTTCTCAATACATATGCTTCCAAACATGCTGCACACTATAAATACATACATTTTTACATGTCATTTTAAAAAATTATTAATAAATTCTAAAAAAAAGAGAGTATTTAAAACAAACAACTCAGCTATTATGATAGTACTTTGCTAAACTTATTTCTTCTCTCTACTCTTTCTGTTGTTCTTTGCTTTGTTTGTGTCACCTTCCTTTCTCTTCCTTTTTATAGCCTCCTAACCAACAGATGTTTGGCCACTGGTCTGTGTTACCTTCCAAGCCTAGGCATAATTTCAGGCATCTAAACATAATGATCACTGCCCCAGATAACTCTTTCCTCAATATGTCCTCAGACTCAAGGTAGGTAACTCAAGCTAGACATACAATAAAGCCTTCTGAGACATCCTCTGCTAATTATCTTCAGTCTAGGCTTTGCTAGATGAAATAGATAGCTTGATTTGGCATACAGCTGAAGAGCAGTTATATCATCAGGAAGAGAGATAGTATGAAGAATATGATTTATAAGGATGGTGTTGATATGGGAAAAGAGAAAAAAGAGAAGCTTTTACAGGGATCAGACCCTGCCTAGCACAGACACTGAGCCCCTTCACACAGCATTTTTCCTGTCTCTCCTGACTCAGTTATGGAGTTTGATGATGGAAATAACAGCAAATCAATAACTAAGAATAAAGAAGCATTTGTGTAGTTGTAAGAGTGGTCTCTCCTGGAGAAGGACATTAATTTTTGTTAATAACAAGAAGATGTCTTACTTCATGGGATTAGATTTCAGGTTGGATGTGTTCAATACAACATTACAGCAGCTCAGAGTTTTGAAGATACAATTGGGCCAAACTTAAAAATAAACTGACATAAAATCTTTAATTGAAACATGCAAATGTTTCACTTAGAGTATTACCTCTGAAAAAGAAACTAGAAGTAAAGAAAGAATTTTCTGGGTGGTCTGTTCATTCCACAGATGGACAGGAGATGGAAAAGTTGACAGACAGCTCTTGTAGGCAGCTATAAGAGATCACTTCCCAAAGGAAGGACTCCAATGACACATCCAGGGGAGTCAGAAGTTACATAGTAAGTTATTAAGTGTCCTCATGAAATAAGTTTGATGTTAGCTTCATTCATTAGTCTCAGTTTCTCTTAGGATTGAGTGAAAACTAGGCTTCTTCCCACAGTGTTGGACCCCTTCACTCCTTGTTCTGTGACCAGTCTACAAATGCAGGACTGTCTGGGGGATAGGTAGGAATAAATCTCTTAACCACCCTGATTCTGGATTCCTGGCTTTATCTCAGCCGTCTTTTTTCTCTTACCAGTGATGTCTGTTCCCTGACATTTTCTTTTCTCTGGACAGGCAGCCTCCTGTGTATATTCAGGGCAGAGAGGACTTGCTGTCCAGGCGGCTTTCTCCTGTAGACACAATGCTCATTGGCATCAGCCCTGTGTCTCTTCAGCAGGTAGAGTTGACTGCCACTTTCCTGTGGCCTCCAGATCCTCTTCTCCACCACAGTGAGTGTACCCCACTCTGACTACTCTAGGCAAGTCTGGCAGACACTTTAGAAACATCTTTGTCTTGAAGAGGATCCCTTTGATGAGGCATAGCCAAGGCCAATGCTCACATTTTTCCATTGAGCTGGCCACAGTAAAAAATGGCTTGTTGTCAGTCTCCTCTGGGTCAGAACAGAGAGTGTTCAGCAAAGCAACTTGGGCTAATTGGTGTATGCAGCTAATGGTGCAATACTTTCAAAAAGAAGAGGCGGAAACAGTCTTCTGGGAAGTACAAAAGGGGCGGGGGGGCAGTTCCCAAGTGCAGCACATTGAAAGGAGTCCCTGCCCTGGAACCAGGATTTGCTGGAAAGCTTGGGCTAAGATGTGGGATCTGAGATGCCAGGATCTTTGTTGAACATTGTATATATTTTCAGAACCTGGGACCTTTCCTGTCTCTGTTCCTCAGTTATCAGTGCAAAGGTCTAAATCTGCTCTTTAGGATTGGCAGTATACAATACCAAATGCTGTTAACTGTTGAGGCCTAGTGGTGTGAGAGAGCAGGACCTTCCTTCCTGTGTTAGTTGTATAGAAGCTACAGGGGCCAGCCTGCACTAAAGCAGCCTTATCTTTGAACTGTTCATTAAAGTAGAAAAGAACTTTATAGAAAATCACTGTAGATCAGATCTACTGACTTGTACCTACCCCTGGATATGTTTCTTGGCTGATTTTTATTCTACTGGACATCAGATGCCTGCTTTATGATACATGAACAGCAAACTCAACTTTCTTTTCTAGTCCTGTTCCATGGAACTGATCCATTCAATGTTCATACACAAATGGTACAGACCCCAGGTTGAGGACTGCAGCATATATGGGGGTATGTAGTAGGTAGAAGCATGCCAGTATAGTGAACAACACTTCTTAAGGTTTGAAGCCTCAATTCAAGTAACACAATAATGAGAAACTCTGCTCTTAGCAAGAGTGAGTTTCTAATGGTCCTTACCTTGTGGACATGTTGAAAACTGATTTCTGTGCCTTATCCTTTTTCTAACCCATGTTGCAGGTAATCTGCCCTCACACTCTTTGAGTAGTCCTTTACTCCTTGAGAGACTATAAAGTGGCCAGTATCAATAAGAGCCTGCCTGGTGGGTTATCAGCACAGGTATTTGCAGCATTCCTTTCTGGGCTTCATTTTGGAAATTTATGGCTGTTTTTATTAAGTGTTCAAATATGATGGTGGGTGGAAGTAGTTTGAATGTATTTATTATTCTTTAAATGAAATAATGGTGGTAGCACATAAAATAGAAAGTTTCTCCTTGGTTTATTAATATCCTGTATGTAGTTTCTGAATAGATAGTTTGAAGGGTAAATGAAGTAAGGCAACTGTGTTACACTGGTGGCTAAGATCTTAATCCCTGTTTTACCAACTTGCTATGTGAGCTTCACTGTTAAACCTATTAATGAGATAAGGTCATTAATCCATTCAGAACCTTCTCAGAAGTCCCATCTCTGAATCTGCTACATTAGGGATTAAGTTTCCAATACATGAACTTTAAGGGGACACACTGAAATCATTGCACCGGGCAAGTCACGTAACTATAATATGCCTCACATTTCCTTTTGTTCAGATGGAGTAATAATACTGACCTACCTCTTAGGCAGTTTAGAGGTTTGACTAAAACTTTTTATTAAGCCTTTGAGATCCTCAACAGAGAAATCCTCAAGCCCTGCAGACTTTTATAGTAGCAGTATCCAGTATGAAATTGACATGCACGTATGTCCTGGATACCATCATTAGCCTACATGGTTCTCTCAAGAGATTGAACGCATCTATTGGAGAAGGGGTATATAATGAGTCAGACAAAAATTGAGAATGCATTATCATTGCCATGAAAACATACACAGGATACATTTTCCTTACCTGGGTGGGTTTTTCTTCTTTTTATGTATGTAGTTATTTGTAACCGAAGAATAATTTTTTGTAATATCAACCCCAAACCTAGTGGTACTGACCTGAGATTGTGTTTATTATTAATAAAAGTGAAGTGAATCTGATTGTACTGTGTCTTGGAGCTTATTGGCTGTCATGTAGTCTCCTGGGACCTGTCTCTGTGGCCCATCATCATGTATGTGTCCTGCAACTTTAAGAGGAAAAACCCCAAAACAAACAAACAAAAACAGTAGAGTCACATCCCCAGTAATCTGCCCTGTCTTCCTAAGGGTAATTTATGTTAACTGTTCAGCAATTCTGGGCAGCAGAAAAGAAGATGTCTGTTCCTATTAAATCGAACACCATTTTTTCCCTCATCCCTAGAGGGAAAACAAGGATATTGGGGGAAAAAAAAAAAAAAGTCCATCAGAACAGGAAAAGAAGAACCATCTAAATTGGACAGAAAGAAGGAAAACTATCTCTTTTTGAAGATGTTATGACATGTACATGGACAATCCAAAAGAATACACACAACTTTTACTGAAGCTAATAAATTCAGTAACGTTGCAAGATACATTAGCAATATGCAAAAATCAGTTGTATTTCTCTAAACAAGTAATGAACACACTAAAAATGAAATTAAAGAAAGACTTCTATAACAGCATCAGAAAGAATAAAATAAATAGAAATAAACTCTACAAAAGAAATCAACAGTATGATACACTGAAAATTACAAAATGGTATTGAAAGAAATTGAAGGAGGCCTAAATAAATACAAAGAAAGTCCATGTTGATAGACTGGAAGACTCAGTATTGTTAAGATAATAATATTCCTGAAGCTGATCTACAGATTCAGTTGTCATCAAATTCTGACTTTTTAAAAGAAAATTTGACATGCTCATTCTAAAAGTCATAGGGAAATTTGTGGTATTGAGAATAGCCACAAAAAAAAAAAAACCACCTTGCTATACAAACTCAAAGTTAGAGGACTAATACTTTCTGATTTCAAAATTACTTCTGAGGGTCCATAGTGAAGATAATGTGATATATCACTGGCATATGAACACATAAATCAGTAGAATGGAATTAAGAGTGTAGGTATAAACCCTACAGTTATTTTTTATAAGAGTATGCAGACAATTCCACAAGGAAAAAATAACATTTTTTAACAAGTATTGCTGGGATAATTAGATATCTATATGTAAAGGAATGCTGGCCCACTAACTCACACCATATTTAAATATTAATCCCAAATGAATCAGCTAATACTATAAAACTCTGAGGAGAAAACATAGATGTAGACACCTACCACCTTGAATTAAACTGTGGTCTCTCAGATATGACATCAAAAGACAAAAAACAAAAGAAAAAGAGATAATTTGGACTTCATCAGAATTAATAACTGTCCCTTCAAGAGATGCTACCAAAACATTGAAAATGTAACTCACTCAGTGGGAGAAAATATTAGCAAATCTTTTATTAGATAAGAGACTAGAACTCAAATTAGAAAAGGAGTACTTAAAATTCAACAACAACAAAAAAGAAACTAATTTTAAAGGAGACAAAGTGTTTTTGTTAGTTTTTGTAATGATGCATAGTAATTGTATAGAGTTGTGGCATATTTGTATATGCATACAACATAACTTAATCAACTCCACTCTTCAGTACCTCCCATTATTCTCCTGTCCTCCATTAGATCAAGTATTTGAATACACATTTCTACAAAGAAGATATACAAGTGGCCAGGTGTGGTGGGACATGCCTGTAATCCCAGCAGCTTGGAAGGCTGAGGCAGGAAGATTATGAGTTCAAAGCCAGCAACTTAGCAAGGCACTTAGCAACTCAGTAAGATCCTGTCTCTAAATAAAGTTTTTAAAAGGGCCAAGGATGTGGTTCAAAGGTTAAGCACCTTTGGGTTCAATCTTCAGTCCAAAAAAAGAAGATACACAAATGGCAAAAAGCACATAAATAGCCATTGTTAGCCATCATAGAAATACTAATTAAAACCATAATGAGATATCAACTCATACTAACTAGAATAACTATAATTAAAGAAAAAACAGTTAAGAACGGCTATTGGTGAAGACATGAATAAATAAGAATTTTCATGATACTGGTGAGAATGTACTTTAAAATGTAAACTCTTTGGAAAAGAGTTTGGCAAAAGGTTTAAAATATACAGGCTCAATATGACTCAGCAATTCTACTTCTGTGAGTATATCTAAGAGAAATAAAAACTTATATTACCCAAAAAATTGTCCATGAATGTTCAGAGTTGCTTTAAATAACAGCCAAAAGTACAAACAACCCAAGTGTCCATCATAAATGAATGGATAAAAGCAATTTGTCAGGGCATGGTATATAACTCACTGGTAGAGTTCTTGCCTAGCTAGCCTGTGCAATGTCCTGGGTTCAATACCTAGTACTGCAAAAACAAACAATGATCCAGCGTATTTCATACAATGGAGTATTATTCAGCCATTAAAAAATAATGAAGTATAGATCTATATAGATTGATAGATTTATCTATATAGATAGATCTTGAAAGCATTCTGAGACCAAGCAGTCAGATGCAAAAGAACATATTCCGTATGATATGCCTTAATTTATATGAAATGTCAGAAAATGTAAATGAATAGAAAGAAAATGGACTGGAAGTTGTTAGGATCTGGGGGAGGAAACTGGGGAGTACTGTTAATAGGCTTAAGTTTATGGCATGAAAATTTTCAAATTAGATTGGATGTTTCTTGCATGATGATAAAAATATACTAAGAATTGAATTATACAATGTAAAGGATGATTCTGTGATATATAAATTGTATCTCAATTACAAAAATTATATGAGAAACTGGGTGCAATAGTGCTTGAAATTCATTCCAGCAACACAGGATGTTGAGTCAAGAAGATCACAAAATAAAAAATAAAAAGGCTAGGGATGTAGCTCAGTGGTATGTTCAATGGTGGGTTCAATCCCCATTACTGCCCTACTCAAAAAGAAAAAGGGAGAAAACATCTGTTATTTTAATGCTTTTACTATTAGTTGTGCCTGAGATTCAAACCCAAATATTCTAAGGAAGCACTGATTAAAGTATTTGATTAAAGGAAGCATTCTATATTCCACTAATTATACTATTATATGGTCTCAGGCTCAACTTAAAAGAAGGCAGATTCTATCCACATGACAAAAGATAGTTGTTAAAAATTGGAGTCTTAAGATGGTAATTTTGCTATACCAAATTACATCAGTTCGAAGTCAGGAACCATGTACTGCATTAGTGAAAGCAGTTTACACCACCTCACAAACACAAATCCAAACCTCTTTTGAGTAGGAAATCCAAAGTTCTCAGTCCACAAGACTGGTGGATGCAATGACAATAGCAATATCCACATTTCTACAGACAGGCACTGCACTGCAGGCCGATCAGCACATCACCTCACTCTATCAGAAGCAGGTACTGTTGTTGCATGAATTCAACTAAAGAGGTAGCTGGATCAGATCTGGAGAGAAGCTGTGATAGAGTGGATAGTGGCACTGTGGTCTGGCTCCAGAACTGAGATCTCACCTCCTGGCTATCCTGAGGTCCAAAAAGACAGCCCTCCAACTCTTATATTCATGTGTCTGCAAGTGATACCCAGTTATACTCAGAGGCAAAGCCTGGTGGTTGGGCCCTCCTCCCTGGCTGCCAATGGCAGGGCGCTGAACCCAAGCACAAACTGCACAAGCTTCCTCTGTTCTGCAAGAACCCAGCTCTCTCTAACTCCTGACCCTCCTGAACATGGAACCACACCTGAGTTTTAAG